TGGCAAAGTGATTGTTCGAATGTGTACGGGACGGTGTCGTCAGATATTGTCCATAGTTGTGCCGATGATTTTCGATGAGGTACAGCTCTCCAATCAGAGGTAATGAGGTACGCTTTTGTCTTCTAAATTTCCCTCATCAAGCATACAGGGGAAAATTAGAAGACAAAGAAATCCGTTGTTTTCAACTAAAAAAACAAAGGATTGAAAACAAAGGATTTCTTTCTCTTCCAAAAGCGTATGCATGGGTAATGAGTAAATTAGTGATTAATCGTACCTCGCGAGACAAAGGATTTCGAGGCAACTATGGTATTATATCTTATATAGCCTATATCTTAGCCTACCTTGGCCTACCTTTATAAACTACTGTATGTATATAAGGGTCGCTTAGATTTGACTACTGTAGAGCTCATATTTCATGGCGAAATATTGAAAGTACAGCCCAAGGAAGACTCTTAGATAACCCGTAATTGTTTCATACGAAAAACAAAACTTAAATCATGTCGAAATCGAGACCAAATTCGTTCTCCAATCTGGGAAAACGAGTTGGCGTCGAGTTTGTTAGAGAATAATTAAACCCTTAAACACACCCATGCACGTAATTTACAGGAAGGACGTACCTCAAAGATGACATCATGCAAATACACTCTACAGTGTATGTATTCATAATACCTGAAAAGTGTCGATTTTTTGTTTGAGTAAAGCAGTTCAGTATGTCGTCTGCCGTGACAAGTGTTCTGAGTTCAACAGTTGGCTTATTATGGAACAAGGCTCGCGACTTAACTGCTGCTGAACTTCAAGACGATGTTACAGATGCGAATGTTAGAGATGCCAAAATTCGAGATAATGTCGTGCGTGAGTTGAACGACTTTAAGAAAAGACGCAGTTGCCTTTCCCGTGCAAGTTTACTCAAAAGCTATAACTTCCTACAGGGAGGAGTAAATTTACTCAATATTTCGCTGAATGTATCAAAACCCGAGCAGCAAGCTGTGCTGAACGACATTCAAGATGATCAAGGTGAAACATCAACAATGCCGAGCGCTGGGATCTCATACGAAGCCCTGGAAGTTTCTAACGCAATTGGAAAGATGAAAGAGTTCGAATCCGCTAAAGAGAAATTTAAAAGTGCTCGTATTGTAGCGACCAATGCTTTCTGGGATGAGGAACTAAGCATTAAAGATAGAATCTTTGCCGCAAAACTACGAATAGTTTCCGAAATACTGGAGTGCCTCGAAAGTCCTAAAACGGCAATCACAAGATGTCTTCCGTTTTTGAAAAAGTTACATAGATTACCTGTCATTCAAAAGATGTTCTCCATATATCTAGAGGGAAGATTTGAATCGCGGATTTTTAATCGAGCCTCAAGAGTTCAACGCATAACATCTGTTATGCTAATTAACTATGTATTATTTCAATTAATTCAGAAATTCAGCAGTGAATATTCGTTTGAAGTGCTTGCCTGGCCAACAATTGAATTAGAAAGTTTTAGTTTTCACCCGATATTACATTGGCCGAAGGTTTCGCAGCAAATATCTATGGAACTACCCGAACCTCCTCCCATACGACTATCTCATGATAAAGGAACTGAACTAGGATGTTGTTTATCTTTAATAAGATTATGCTACAAACGGTTAAGGACGTGGTTATTAAAGTGCCTATACGACTTTTTTCTTTATGTTTGAATTGCAAAGTTCATTTAAAATCATAACATAACTTGTTATCTAAAACTTTATAATCTTTCCTGTAAATCAAGATTTTCGACTTTGTTTGATATACAAATCTGACTTAAATGACGTCACACTGCATAATGATTTTTAGAAAGAAAACGTTTCCTTGCCAAACATGTGATAATTCCACTGACATTGAAAGTGACATACTTTAAGAGCTATCAAAGCGATCATTTCGTCTGCAAATTTGAGATAATGAGAATTTTAACAAGCTACAACACAGTCTTCTGTAAAACGCATTATGCAGTGTGACGTCATTTAAGTCACATTTGTATATCAAACAAAGTCGAAAATCTTGACATACAGGAAAGATTACACAGTTTTAGAAAACAAGTTATATTGTGATTTTAAATTAACTTTGCAATCCAATCATAAAAAAAATTGTCGCATAGGCACTTTAAGGATATTCAAGGTGAATTGAGAGCCTGCATCGATAACTAATGAATTTGAATATCTGCCCCATAACGTTCGTTTTCCCAAATAAGGAATGTCTATCCTTATATGGTGTTGTTTACAACTTTCGTGCAAACTAAATTTAGACCGTACAGTTTATACTGTTTTTCGAAATATAAGATATTCAAGCAAAAGTTTAAATGTTTTAAATACTGTTTTCTCAAAACAGAACATTTCGTGCTTTGAGATAAGATGGCCAAGACCAATTTGATCAGTTAATGTGTTTTTTATGCATAGTGCTTCAGCAGTTGACATATATAGAGCTCAGCGGAAACATATAAATTATAGCATCAGACCAAATGAGAATTTCGCGTCACGATTTGAGACGCAGATATTCAAATTCATTAGTCATCGATGCAGACTCTCAATTCAACTTGAGAGCCTGCTCGCAGGCTATTAAGGATATGGTGAAAGCAACACAGCAGAAAAACGTCTGCGCATGCGCGTGTACTAGAAAAATTGGCGGGGAATTTAAATGTCAAATTGTAAACAAAAACATGAGTCATGACTATTTAATTATTTAAGATAAGTGAAACAAACAAAAAAATACACTAGACGGGTAGTTTAGACATTAATAAAAAGTTTTCTAACATTTAAAATCTAAAAAGAAACAGAATTTCAACTAAACATTATCGTTTTAGACCGGGAGGCGTGTGAACATTTCTTGAAAAATTGTCGAATACCGAACTTTAAGCCGGAGCAAACTATTTTGATATAGATAGATAGATAAACTTTATTTAAAGATGCTGACCCCGTCAACCGAAGCTGATTTCCACGAGGGGCGTGCGAAAAGTATACAGAAAAGAATTTTAAAACTATTTACAAAATTATATAAGATATATACGTGGTTGTGGTAAACAAAGACTACTTGAAATGTTCCGAAGTTTGTAGTTTGTCACCTCGATCACCCTTATATGTGAAGAGATTACTGAGTGATTTGGGTCCCATTTTATTCAATAATTTGTACATGATTTTTGTTTTGCTTTTCTTCCTTTCTGTTTTAAGTGGCTTCCAACCCAATGCTTGCAATGCAACAGAATGATCTATGTCATTGCTCATATTCAAAATAATCCGAGCAGCTCTGTTTTGCAGTTTTTGGAGTCTTTTTTATTGCGTTTCTCCAACTACACATCCCATACTTCACAGCAGTAATCAAAATATGGGCGAACAATAGCATTATATACAGAAAGAAGTGTTTGCTTATCAGCAAATTCTTTTAAACGCCTAAGAGCCGATATTCCGGATGTTATTTTCTTGCAAATATTCTCAGTGTTAGTTTTCCAAGATAAATGCTGGTCAATTGTCACTCCAAGAGTTTTGGATTCGTAAACTTGTTTAATTGACTCGTTTTCAATTTTCACATTTAGTTGCAAATTTGAAATATTTTTTATCATTTGTTTTGAACCAATTAACATAAACTCAGTCTTAGCAACATTTAGACTAAGTTTATTGGCAATTAGCCATTTCCTAAGTTTTTCTAAATCAGAATTTACTGCAGTTTCAAGACCAGTAATAGAGTCTCCAGAAACTGTCAGGTTCGTATCGTCAGCAAACAACCGAGGTTTTGTTTTATCCAGGCATTGAGGCAAATCGTTAATATATAACAGAAGGTACCACAAGGTACGTCACATTTGATCAACTTCTCTGATGAAACAGATCCTTCTATTTGGCATTTTTGGTTTCTATTTGAGAGATATGATTCTAGAAAAGACAGAGCTTGTCCTTTTATTCCATAAAGCTCTAATTTTTTCAATAATATTTGATGATCAACAGTATCAAATGCTTTTTTTAAGTGATTAAGACTACTATAGGTTAAACATTTTGCGGTCTAAATTCATATACCAATCATTTGTACAGTCCAGTAATGCTATATAGCTGTAGAGTGAAATTTACGAAAACCGAATTGACAATCACTCAGGAGTTCAAATTTGGTTAAATAATTGTATAGCTGATCGTACAGAATTCGCTCCATAATTTTGCTAATGACAGGCAGAACTGAAATTGGTCTGTAATTTCCTGGTAGGTTTCGTTGGCCATTTTTATAGAGAGGTATTACTCTAGCCGTTTTCCATTCGTGAGGGAAAAGGGATAGGGTAATAGCTTGATTGAAAATGTATGTGAGTGAATCTGAAATAGCAGGTGCAGCTATTTTAATAATTTTACTGGAGATCTTATCAACGCCAGTGGCTTTGTTGCTAGAAAGACCATGCAAAAGATGCATGGTAGACATTGCGGCTGACAGTGACTGGCTGGAATGCACTGAATTCTGATTTAGCCTTTTCAATATATGTTTGAAAGTTCAAATTTGGAGTATCAATTTTGCTAGCTAGATCAGGGACAATATTTGAAAAATAATCATTACACTAAGCCCTCCGCAAGGGTATTTGTCAAACTATTTTCACCTAATTTTAACTCATTTACTACTGTTGGTTTGCTTTGCCTACCTAGTATATCGTTTATAGTTTTCCAAGCCTCTTTAGGATTGCATTTTTGATCAGAAATTTTACTGGAGTCAATAATTTTTTTTATGCAAGTTATGAGAGTTAAGCATCTGCACACCGCACACGCTTAAATCTTAGAGTAAATCATTACCCTTAAATATAGTCAACGCAAAAATTATACATCAGCTACGCAAAAAGTTATTGCCGGATGAACCTACGAAAAATATCTTTGTATGGTTCAGTTAAAGAACTCTTTATACAATAAATCTATCGACAGTCACCTTTGGTTCATTTTCTTGCATAATACTACTTGTTGCACATATAAACTGTGATTATTTCTAGTTTTTAGTTTGTTACATTTATTATTCCGCTTGGATTTTCACAGAAAAGGCAAAACATTGAAACATCGCTTCCATTTTGAGTTTTTGACAACCTTTGGAATACTTGACACCACGTTCGCAAGGCAAATTTTAGTATGGTTGACGCATGCGCAGACGTTTTTTTCGCGGTGTTGGCGAGAGCAAGACAGCCGGTTAATTCACCTGGCTGACCACGTGCGCAGAAGGTGAAATGCATGTTCCACAAACGTATCATAGGACTTGCTGCAAGCATGATTAACACATCCACACTTGATCCTGGTTTCCATATGGTCGTAATGGTCGTAAAAATAGAGTCACGATCAGTCTCAACGGCCAGTTTATAATAGTTTATGCCTGTAAACCACATATAAATATAATTATTATATATACACAAGGTCTGGATATGAGGTATTCTGCAATCTGATTGGTTCTCTACTAGCAGGATATTAGCTCATATCCTGCTAGTAGAGAAAAACAAACTGGCGGCCAAACTGAATTTACGATGTTTTGCAAACGAGAAAACGGCAACTTGTCGCTTTTTATAACCTTAACAGGATTAAAAACACAATGAAAAAACTCCCACAAATTGTTTTCAGGTTAGCAAATAAATTTTTAAAATTTAAAATGGTTAAAAATATATATTTTGGAAAAAATAATCGGCCGAAAGAGCGAAGATAAAAACATAAACAAAATAGAAAAATATTGAAAATATCCGAAAAGCAAAGTCTGTGAATTCAGACCTTGTGTATATAATAAAACAGTTATTCCACTCACTCTCGTCGAATATGAGCGATAGCCGATAGCTATCCGCTCATATTCGACTCGAGTTCGTAGAATAACTGTTAAGTATTCTCTATAGTAAATTATAATCACTCCGCGTGTTCTCAGTTCTAAAATTTCGGCGGATGAGAAAGATCGTGACTCAATCTTCACGACCGTCACAACCATATAGAAACCTTACCAGGCTTTAGGTACGTACCAACCCCAAGTGTAAATATAATAACATATAATCTTTCGAAAACAAATACACAAGTTCTTATAGATCTGCAAACAAGTTCAGGTTATCATCTACAAGATTGATGACGACAACAGACTTACTACAAGTTGTTCCAACAAGACTAATGGCGTAATGTGTTGCTACGAGCTTGTTGTCATCAACTTGTTAACAACTTGTTAATTAAGTGCAGACGATATTATCAGATTTGTTGGAACAACTTGCTGCGAGTTTGTTGGCCTTATCAACCTTGTTACAAGACGATGACAACTTGTTCCAGACTTGTCAACAACTGGAAACAAGCAGTGCGAACACACCTTGTTGCCGGACAAGCTGTGAGATTTTTACGCATAGGCCAGACAAAAATAGAATTCAGTTGATATTTTATTTCAGTCTTCATGAATCATGATGCAAGATTATTCAATATAATTATTTGAAGCTGATTAGGACGCCTAACTATTTATTAGTTATAGTTTGTAATTAATCAAATAACTCAATCCAAATAAAATGGTGGGAATATTAAACAGAACCATGATTTCTTTTCTTCTTTTGCTAGCTGCGATAGTTTTTCTGGAAGAAGAATGAAGAACGTTAATAATACAGGGTGTATAAAAAAAACTGAACATGTTTGAAATTGCTCTCAATATTTTGCAAAACAGCTATTGGTATCCAGTTTATATATGTCTCTCAGAAATGGCACATAAATGTTTTCTAAGCTTATTAAATAATGCTCCCATTATGCTTTGCACGCTTAGAGTTTAAGGTTTAAGGTTTAGAGTTCAAGGTTTTTCATAGGACATTCTTTTTTGACTTAGCTGTATATATATATATATATATATATATATATATATATATATATATATATATATATATATATATATATATATATATATATATATATATATATATGTATGTATAGCTTAAGATTTTGGCTTACGAAACACAAACAGTGCTCAATACCATATAGATAGAGCGTAATATAGTTTTTCGTTTTACCTCAAAAAACCACAACAGTCTGTTTCATCCGTATAGGAATCATCAGGTGGTCCTGATGATTCCTATACGGATGAAACAGACCGTTGTGGTTTCTTGAGGTAAAACGAAAAACTATATATTTATTATATAGTAGAGGGTGAGATACTGAAAAATACACAGTGAGATATTTTCCATGTCTTCACTAGTGAAGGTATCGATCGCGTGACTTTTAGTATTTATGCAATTTTTTGCTTGGGACTATATAATAAACAGAACATTACATTACACGGTGGCTTGAAGATATGACTTTTATCTCCTCGTGTTAAAAACAATATTTTATTCACTCGCTGCGCTCGTTTGTAAAATATTGTTTGACCACTCAAAGAAAAAACTTTACAGTAAACGTCATATCTTCGCGTCGCCTTGTAGTATCCCATATATATATATATATATATATATATATATATATATATATATATATATATATATATATATATATATATATATATATATATATATATATATATATATATATATATATATATATATATATATATATATATATATATATATATATAGCTTAAGATTTTGGTTTACGAGACACAAACAGTGCTCAATACCATATAGATAGAGCGTAATATAGTTTTTCGTTTTACCTCAAAAAACCACAACAGTCTGTTTCATCCGTATAGGAATCATCAGGTGGACCACCTGATGA